CACACCCATGCACACCCACCCTGCGATCCCAGCTACAAGGGACAGCGCTAGCTTGGTTTCTCCTGCGGCTCTGATTACCCACGGTCGGATTCTGCCCTCCGCTCCAGCCCAGCAACCCCACTGGCTCCAGGTGCTGAATTTGACCCATGTGCTTTTAGCCTCTCCGAGCCCAACAGACACCCAGGTCCCTGCTCATTCCCTCCCCCTCGTAACCGGGGGGCGTGCTGGGGTGGATGGCGGGTGTGTCCGAGGAGCAGGGCTGGAGGGCAGCAGTCGGCCCTGTGAAACACTGGTGCGGCTGAGTTCCAAACATGCCAGCAATCCATCCAGCGCTGGCCAGCCCCCAGCCCAGCCCGGAAACACAACCTGCCTGCCGCGGATACATTACAGCACCGCCTCCCTTCCAGCGGGCGTGACACTAACCCGTGGCCGTGCGGCTCAGGTAACGTGCACCTGGCTTCAGGCAGGCGAGGAGCTGGCCGCGGGCGGCTGTAAGCGGAACCGCCAAAGAAAGCGAGAACTCAAGCATGAAAAAATTATTAGGCAACCAATCCCCGGGACCTATTTTCAGGAACAATGGCTGCCTCTTGGTCCCGCTGCAACCCGAGTCGCCCGTCAGCCAGCGGCTGCCCGAGCAATCAGAGCCTGGGCCCAGACCAAGGGAGCTGCTCCCCGGGGCCCGGCCCAAAGGAATCGGCCCCTCCAGCTGAGCCCGACGACCCAGCAGAGCGCGGCTGAGTCCCTCGGCTTCCCTGCTGCCTGCAGCGGTCGCTAGGGCAGCCCAAGGGGGTCCGCGGCGTGACCCCTCTCCAAGTGTGGCACAGCTTCCCCTTCAGCACCTGCAGCTTGGGGCCCAGCACTGGAGGTCCCGGCCAGGATCAGGGCCCATTGTGCTCGGAGCTGCACAAACTCACAGTAATAGACCCTGCCCCAAAGAGTTTAAATCGCAATAGAGATGGGCGGGAGGGGAAACTGAGGCACAGAGCAGCGCGGCGACTTGCCCAAGGTCACCCAGCAGCTCGGTGGCAGAGCCGGCAATAGAACCAGGTTTTCTGAGTCCCATCCCAGCACCCTGTCTGCTAGCCCCCACGGCCACTCGCGCTGCCTGGTCTGGTGCCTTGGGCTGGGAGATCCAGCGCGTCTGAGCCCTTGCTCCAAACCCAGCCCCAAACTCTTTGTGGGCTGGCAAGTGGAGGTGTGGCCTCGCACACGTTCTTTCTCACGTGGGAGCGATGCCGGGAGCAGCCGAGCGTCTCACACTCTGTGCTGGGAGGTGCCGAGTGCTGGGGGGTCCCAGCCAGGAGGGAAGCAGGGAATCCTAGAAGGAGCACAGCCTGTTCTGCAAACCCACCTGGAAGGGAGAGTTTGGACACTTGAGATGGTGTCTTATCACCCCTTCCCTGAGTGCAGTGGTGGATTTGATTTAAGCCTCGTGACACCAGCCTGGGGTGGGTTGGAACCCTTCTCCCCATTTTATAGATGGGGAAACTGAGGCACAGAGCAGGGACGGGACTTGCCTAAAATCACCCAGCAAATCAGTAGCGGAGGCAGGGCTAGAACCCAGAGCCCACCACACTTAGCCAGGAGCTTTAACCACTAGGTCATGCTTCCAAACCTCTAGGGTGCTCCTGGGACGCACAGCTGAACTGGCCCCCAGCACCTGCCCCAAGCTCTGCCTCCCCTCCCCCTGCCACGACGGGCCGAGGCAACAGTGTTATGCCAGCAGGACAATCAGGGGGAGTGGAATCGGCCCATCATGCCCAGCGCTCTCCTAAGGACCCAGGCCCAATGGGGGATCCACAGCCCTCCGGCTTGGGCCTGCACTTCCTTTTCTGCCTAGCTCAGCTCCCGGCTGGAGTGGGAGACCCTCTGGAGAACCAGAGGGGGGGGACGTGGCCTGGGCCCGCGGCTGAGCACTGGGCGGCTGTGTCCAGCTGGCCCCATCTCTTAGCATTTTGAGTCTCTCCTGCGCAGTTTGGAGAGTGAAAGACATAGCCCCCCTCGCCCCCCAGCAAAGCGCGAGTGCTCCCAGCACGCACCCTGCGAGCCAGCCACAGCAGAGACGGGCATCGCGGGTGGCCCTGATATTTCTAGGGGACCCCCCCCCCAACACACACATTTTTCAGGCCTCTTTGCCCATCAGAAAGAAGCAACCCAAAGGCAGGAGCCCGGCGTGTTCGGAGCCCTTTGCAGGTCAGGTGCAATCCCCAAGGCCCGGGGCCAGCGCGGGACGAGGCTCCCGCACACGAGGCACCGGGCCGCCCTGGCTGGGGAGCTGGAGCCAGCGGAGACAAAGGCCATGGCCCTCTGCTCAGCAGGGCTGGGCTGATCCTGACCCGGACTAATGATTGAATGGGGGGTTACCAGGGTCACAGGCGTTGTCAGCTTCCGGACTGGGAGGAGGTTTCCTGCCATGTGGGCCTCAGCCCCCCACAGTCTGTCACCCCCCGCATTTATTCCCACTCCCTGTCATTGCCCCTTCTCCACCACCCCGCTCCCCCCAGGCCAAGGGAGCCTTGCAGGCACACAAGGGGTTCATACATTAGCCGTTCCCGTCCCAGCGGGCTCAGCTCAGCTCACCAGTGAGATGAGTTTGCCGGGTCTCAGCGAAGTCTTCACTGGACGGCTGGACACGTCACAGCTTGGCATGATTGGCAGCCCCTGCCCAGGAGATGCCCACACCACTTGTGGGAGGGCAGGGGGCTGCGGGGCAGGATTGACGGACAGCAGCCCCATTAGCCCAGAGACTCTCACCAGCCCGTCTGGGACTTGGGAACAGCGAGCAGGGGGTGTACAGGCTGGCATGAAATGTGGGCAGGGGGCTGGCACCCACTTCTGCTTCTGCTCCCCCGCACGGCCAGGGCAGAGAGGGACTCTGGAGGGGCAGAGGGCTTCGCGGAGGGAGACAGGAGTGTGTATTGGAGCCCTGGGCAGCGCTTTGTCCCCCACCGGCCGCCCCCCAGGAGGCAACGCGAGAGGAGAGGCGAGAGGGTAACAGGAAACCGTGGGGCAGGTTGGCACGTTTGGCTCCTGATGTGTCTGATTTCTCTCAATCTCCTCTCACTGTGGGCGCCTCGGGGAGCTGGGCGAGGCGAGGGGCCGGAGGGGAGCCGAGGAGCTGGGGAGCGCATGTCACCTGACACACAGGACACCCCAAGACATACGAAGGACCCCTGGGCTGCAGGACCCCTGCAGTAGTAACAGTGCCCCCCCACGGGGCCTGTACCCCATTGGGGAGGAGCCCACAGGACCCCCTGGCACAGCTGCAGGCTCAGTCCCAGGTGCCCTGACACCCATTGCTTTGGGCCCCCTCTGCGGGCCAGGGCCACCCCTGATCCTGTTGGAGCCTCTCCCTGAATCCAGTGGGACAAGGGCTTATCCCCGAGCAGCCAGCGTGGCCATGGATCGGGCCGAGCCGCCCCACACGCAGCCAGCCCAGCTCCCAACGCCCCAACCCACGGCGCTGCCAGCACTTCCCTGCCGAGACGCGCTGGCCCTGCCTCTGGGGTCAGCGCTTACCCTGCGCAGGGGGGTGAGCAGCCCCAGCCCGTCCAAACCCCACTGTGTGCGCCCGCCGGGACTCGCACCCCCAGAGCCCAGGGGAGCGACACCACAGGGCTGGGGACAGCCAGGCCAGGCCGGAGCGCAGGCCCCCTGGCTTGGCTTCATCCCATGCCCCCATGGGCCACCCTCCTCCCTATTCAGACCCTGCCGCCTGCCACCCCATCCACACCCCTTCTCGCCCCCCAGCTCTTTCCTCATCGCCGGCCGTGGCCCCTTCGGCTGCTCTTCTCCAACCCCCCCACCCTCCCCCGGCTGCCAGGCTCCGCCTGGCTGCCAGATGGGGGCAACGGCCCCGCTGGGCTCACACCCCAGGGCCACAGAGATGGGCCCTCCCCCCTGCCCCAGGATGGCAGCCACGCCGGCCCTGGTCTTTTGCAGCCCTATGTCCCATTGCAAACTCCTCTCCAGCGTGCGCCCTCGCCCCCCGCTCCCACGGCCCCCGTGCTGGGGTGACTGTCCCCCGGGGTACTAGCTGCACTTAGCCAGGTGGAGCTCTTTGTGGGGCTGTTTCCCTGCGCTCACGGCCACGGGGCAGCGCCGGGATCCTTCCTGGGGGCCGCCTGGGCCGGGGGAGGATTTGGAGCAGCAGGGGTTGCAGGACAGATGGAGGCCAGAGGCCCAAAGAGGGATAAACGGTTTAAACTAATCAAAAGGCTGGGCTAATTGTTAAGGAGCTTAGCGGCTGGGCCAGCGTGCGGCTGGAGGTGACCTCCTGCCGAATCAGAGACGCCCGTAACCCTAGCCGGGTGCCCACGGGAAGGCAGCGCGGCCCCGGCAGGGGCGGATCGGGTTGCGGCCCAAGTTTTCCACCTGAGACTCAGCGGCACAGAGGAAGGAGGCAGGACCTGCCGCCAGGGGAAGAGCCCGCCGGCCGCGGAGGGGGTCAGGGACGCAGACACCAGCCGCGGCCCCAGCCCCAGGCCGGCCCAGCGGAGCCGAACACCGGAGCACTCCATCAAAGGCCCATTGTCTCCTGCATCAACCCCCTCGCTTGTGTCCGCGCAAGCCCCACTATTGGCTGCCGAGGGCTCGGAGCCCATTGAAATCCAGGCGAGCTCTGTAATCGTAGCTGGCCCTCACTAACCCCGGCTGCAGCGCCGAAGCCCGTGCATTTCCTGGCCTGCACCCCCGGCACGCCGGAGCGGGAGAGGTCAGCCGGAGCGGCCACGCAGGGGCCAGACGTCCAGACGAGGTTGGCATTCCAGGCTGCAGGTTAGATGAAGGCAAGCGAGGCTGTGCCTGGCGGAGAGGGACCAGGAACTGGGGCAGTGGCACGTCAGTGCGGCTTGGCCTGAGGCACTTCGCTCTAATCCAGGTCTGCCCGGAGCCGGCTGCGCGTGGGAGCGAGTGTGCGAGCACGCACCCACCCGTGTCCTCAGCAGGGCTGGGCTGGGAGAACCTCGACTCGCGCCCCACTCCCCGGGAACCAACAGAAGATGCCAACCAACGGGATCCACCAGGTCTTGAAGATCCAGTTTGGCTTGATCAACTGCCAGAACCGCTACCTGACGGCTGAGAGCTTTGGCTACAAGGTCAACGCCTCGGCGCCCAGCCTGAAGAGGAAGCAGATATGGACCCTGGAGCAGGATGAGGCCGACAGCTCCGTGGTCTTCCTGAGAAGCCACCTGGGCAGGTACCTAGCCGCTGACAAGGACGGGAAGGTGTCGTGTGAAGCCGAGAAGCCAGGCAGAGACGGGCGCTTCACTATTGTCACCCAGTCGGATGGGCGCTGGGCACTGCAGTCTCAGCCCTACAAGCGCTTCTTCGGGGGCTCGGAAGACAGGCTGTCCTGCTTCGCCCAGGCCGTCACCGAGGCCGAGCTGTGGACCGTCCACCTGGCCATCCACCCGCAGGCCAACCTGCTGAGCATCAGCCGGAGGCGGTACGCGCACCTGAGCGCCTTGGAGGACGAGATCTCCACCGACAGCAACATCCCCTGGGGTGTGGACGCGCTCATCACCCTCACCTTCCAGAACCAGCGGTACTGCCTGCGGGCCTGCGACAACCGCTACCTGCAGAACGACGGCGCCCTGGTGCCGGAGCCCGGCCCGCGCACCGGCTACACCCTGGAGTTCAAGGCAGGGAAGCTGGCTTTCAAGGACTGCAACGGGAAGTACCTGGCGCCCATGGGGCCCACGGGCACCCTGAAGGCCGGGAGGAGCTCCAAGCCGGGCAAGGACGAACTCTTTGATCTGGAGGAGAGCCACCCGCAAGTGGTTTTCCTGGCGTCCAATGGCCGATACGTCTCCATCCGGCAAGGTAAGTGCCCCCCCCTTTGCCCCCTTCCCTCCCCATGGGCAGCTCCCCTCTATGGGGGGGGAGGGTGCCCTGCCCCCATACACCTGAGCACCTAGAACCAGGGGATCCCGCTTCCTGGGTGCCACCCTGCCTGTTGCAATGGCTCTTCAGCCAAGCCGGCTTGGAGGGACCCGCCGGGGGCTCCGGGCCCTCTGGGCTCGTGCGGGTCCGGGGCTGCCTGGTCAAGGCTCTCCTGGCTCCTCCCCCTTTTCCCACCCCCCTCCCTTTCACGGTGGCATTTCAAGTGCACTCCCCACCCCTTCCCGGGCTCCCTCTCTGTCTGGGGTGGGGGCACGCCCCACTCACACTGGCAGCCCACGCTCGGACCCGGCCCCCCCCGGGGTCAGATTCTCAGTTAGCCCTGCTGTGGGCCTGGCTGGCGGGGGCGGGCTGACACTCACCCTTTCTCCAGCTGCGCTCCTTAGTTGGGTTCTGCCCCATGGGGGCGGGTGCAAAGTGGCATTGGCTTTGCTAAGAGGGCGAGGGGCTCTCCTGCCGTCTCCCTGGTCATGAGCAGCCCCTCTGCCTGGCACCCACGCCGCGGGGTGGGGTGGGGGACGCCAGTCGGTTCTTCAATAAACCACATCCCTGGGCCACCAGGAAGTGACCAGCTCGCTCCCTGCTGCACCTGGAGACCATCAGCCCCGGGGAACGTGGTGTTCGCTCCTCCCACGCAGGAGCAGCCCAGGCGGATCCTTTAGCCTGGTACCCTGGTAGCTAATCACCCCTCCGTCCATGACACGGCCCCCAGAGGGCCCCCAGGAGCAGTGACCCGTCTTACTCAGCATCCTGCCTGTCCCGGAGCCCGCCTCAGCTCATCCTCTTTCTCCAGCCCTGTTGGCGACAGGCCCAATGCACCTGGCCAGGTGCAGACTGTGGTTTCCAGGGGAACAGACGAGGGTTCTGCTGACAATCCCTTTCCGTGCACCGCAGCCCCATGCCTGCAATCCTCACTGGTGCAGCTGCTGTCGTTACTCCCAGGGTCTGCCTGCCAGTGCCCGGGGCCAGCGACAGGCATTTCAGGGGCAGCGTCTTGAGCCAAGCGGGAGACGTTTCTCTCTGCAGAGCAGCTCCCTGCATGCTGAGTCCCTGCCGGGCCTTCCCAGAGCCCGGCCCTGGCAAGCCGAAAGGCTATCAAAGGAGGCCCCCAAGCCGGTCCCTTCCCCTCCAGGAGCTGCCCTGGAGCTGGAGCAAGCCGTGCCCAGCCCTGGGTTGCCGGCTGCCCCGTGTGAACGTGGGTTACGCTCACCCAAGTGAGTGCCGGCTGGAGGCCACCGCAGGCCTTTCGCCTCCGTCCTGCCTGAACTCCTGCAGATGGGCACTTGGCCAAACCCAGCCTGGTCCCGCTGTTTAAGGGGGGTGGGGGGTCAGAGCAGGTGTGTCCGGGACATGGGCTGGCTCCCCCGTGGCAGTCACGGCTCAGGTCCATCCCTGGCAGATTTCAAGGGAGCTTGGGGGAGGGGGGGCAACATGAGGCAGGCCCCCTGGTCTCCTAGCCAAGGCCTGATCCCCCGACAGCCCCCACAGGGGCCACGGGGGACCACGCCCAATTGGGGGGCTGCCCCTCCTGCCCCATCCTCCCCGCCAGCGAAGGAGACCCAGGGGGGCGGGGGCTGCCTTTGCACCGAGCCGCCTCCTCCCCCCACCCGGTGAGTCAGGCTGGGCCATATGGGCCCGACGGGGAACAGGTGGCAGCAGGCGACGCTCCCTCCGCCGAGGGGCGCGTGCAGGCGGCGTTTGCTCGCTGCTCCATCGCCATAGTAACCTGGCCCCCCAGCCCGGCCTGCGCACCCGGGGGGGGGGGGGGGTGAGAGCAGGAGTCTGGGTGTGTGTGCACAGGTGGTGTGGGTGTGTGTACACGTGAGTCTGAGTGTGTGTGAGAGAGAGCATGGATCTGGGGGGGATGTCTGGGTCTGAGTGTGTGCGCACATGGGGGTGTGTGTGCGTGGGGGGGGGGGTCTGTGTGCATGTGTATGCATGGGGTGTGTGAGTGTGTGTATAGGGGGATCTGTGTGCATGTGTACACATGGGGTGTGTGTGTGCACATAGATGTGTGTGTGCATGGGGGGGTCTGTGTGCATGTGTACACATGGGGGG